CTTCCCTACCCACTCCAATACAAATCTGATATGGTTTTTCGTTACTTAAAAGAGTTTGTTGTTTTATTCTATTGAAAGGCCCTCCCCCCGAGAGTGACATACAAGGAAAACAGCCTTAGCGCAGAGACAGTGATAGGGGCAATCAGTCGCACACTCACACCACACACACACATACACACACATACACACACACACACACACATACACACACACACATACACACACACACACACACACACATGCACACACACATACACACACACACACACACAAATGCACACACACACACACACACACACACACACACACACACACACACACACACACACACACACACACACACACACACACCTTTTCCACCCCTAAAACACTCCATCAAAGCCATTTTAACATTCCATTGTTGTTTTTCTATCATTGTTCAATGTTATTGTTGACCTAAGAGAGCCGCGTTCGTCTATAAGCTTGCTCTCCTACGTAAGGTCTTTAATAACGTAATGAACAGTAGACCTATTATCCTACTTATATGATTTTTGACTATACCAAACTCCCTAGTCTCAATTTTTCTCATCAAATGAGTTGAAACTGAATCTCTTCGGTGTTATGAAGACTTAGATTAAAATTTATTTTTATTTAAACAGAACGGGGAGGGGGAGGGAAGGGAGTACGATGACGTAGGCTAACGTCACATCCTCTCGCATCGGCCGTCGACCTTTGCCTAGTAAAGTCAGCCTACAGATTTACGTCACCAAAGCCCCCCCCCCCCCCTCTCTCTCTCTCTCTCTCTCTCTCTCTCTCTCTCTCTCTCTCTCTCTCTCTCTCTCTCTCTCTCTCTCTCTCTCTTGGGGCGCCCGCGCTTGCTCTCTTTCTCGCTCGCTTGTCCTCTTTCTCCCCTCTCTCTCTCCCTCTGTCTTTCTCTCTTTCTTTCTCCGTGCCCCCCCTCTCTCTTTCTCTCCCCCTCCCTTTTTTCAATTAAAATAGATAATCTAGCGTTGTCAATTAGTTTTAAGTGTTGGAAATGAAATTAATGTACTATGGAAGAAGAACAGCCCCCAAACTTTTCATGTTTTACATTCAAATTTTTAGTAGATCTATGCCAAACAAAAGTTTCCGATAAAGTCGGAGGTAAAAATCACTAAAACAAATGAATATATCTTATTCCTACTTTGGCCAATAGATGTGTGAAAGGCAGTTTTGTAAGTCAGAAACATGTTTTATCTATGGCGAGAAGGAGAAGTATACCAAAACGGTTATGACGTCAAAAGGAATAAGAAGCGAGTTCAATTTTATTCGTTTTCAAACCGAGTCAGCTAATGAATCGTTTTGAAACCGAGTCAGCTAATGAATCGTTTTGAAACCGAGTCAGCTAATGAATCGTTTTGAAACCGAGTCAGCTAATGAATCGTTTTGAAACCGAGTCAGCTAATGAATCGTTTTCAAACCGAGTCAGCTAATGAATCATTTTCAAACCGAGTCAGCTAATGAATCGGTTTGAAACCGAGTCAACTAATGAATCGTTTTGGAATGGAGTTAGTTCACTCGGTGCTGAGGGGGATGACCTATCAAGACTGCCCTTTGACAGTCCGCTACTACACGATACACAACGAGCAGCAGTGCCAAATTCAGTTTTGTGCTCAAAAGAATATTTTCCAGAAGTGATTGTCCCCCTCTTCATCTTCATAGATCACGTTTGCCACTTCAGACTATAAATAAAATGACTACTAGATTCCATTTCCTGCAATCAGATTTTATGTTAAATAGCTTTGATAGTAGATCTAGTTTTGTTGGAAAGGAGTTTATCAGTTGGTTGGAGCAGAAACACGACACCGCATATTATCAAAACAAAGAAAATAACTGTTTTAAAAGGGAGGTTGCTAAAGTGAATGCTTGGAAATATAGTAAGGGCAGTGGAAGAACCGTGGGGGAAATCCAACAATACGCCCCCCCCCCCCCTTCGCTGCCGCGAAAAACGATTCATTTATTCGGTTATTCGGATTTTTAGAGAAACAGGTACCTAGTTATTCGGTTTTTTGAAAAGCGAATAATACCCAGGCCTACTTCCGTGCACGCTTGCTCCCCGTGGTAAGGGTGGGCCGACTCCGAGAACTTCCGAACTTTCGACTCCGAACATATTTGGGCGCGGATTCTTCGATTTCGACTCCGAATTCGAATTCAGGTCAAGATAGCAGCCAATCAAATTTGAGGAGAGACAAGGTCAATTCGGTGGGATTCGTGTCAAGTCAAGTCGTTCTCCTTACATCCGTCGAGTCGAACACGCTGTAGAGAATCCCGACGCCACGGACCGGTGTAGACAAAGGGGGCGTGGAGGGGGGGGGGGGAAAGGAGCAGGGAAGAGGTCACAGAGGTTGGGATTGAGGCAGGCAATGTTTTCATTGACATCAGGGGAGGACACCAGTTTGTTTTGAAAGTTTTTTGCCCCTCGTTGACAGTACAGCCGCTTTCATGTGCGATGATAATGGATGCAAACAGGTCATAATAAAAATCAAAGCATAAAATCCAGCAGTCTCGAACTCTAAAGTCAGACCATGCATTAATCAAAGCAACAGTCGGCAAGACAGAAATCTAAAAAAAAAAAAAAACAGTAATAGATCTAGATTTAGATCTATATCATAATCAACATTTATTATGACAAGATGAAACATACAAGGTTGAAAACAAACATGGAGTAATGCAAAAGAGACAAAAAATGTGACAATGTAAATGTAAGTGCCAGACAGGTCGTAAGAAAATACATGTAGATAGTACAATGAAGAGAAGAAAAGTAGTGAAATGTGTGTGATCGCAGTGAAAGCCAAAGAAAGAAGGAGGCTGGGATAATCACGGGATTTGAATTTGACGTGAAGATGGCTTGCAATTGTGATTGGTGCAATCAGAGACGCAATGCTCGTCCGTCACCGTAGTGACCTTGGCCTCTTAGGGCATAACCACCAGCAGAAGGGATTTGTAACTGCTAGCGAATCAGCGAGTTCTAAAGGCTCATGTGACTTTCATTGAGTCGATGGAATTGTGGGACGGTCCAATTCGAACTCGCCGCTGCGCTTTTCCCTTTCGTCAACCCGCAGCCACGTCCCGAATCGTCAGCCACCCCCAACCTTTGACACGGGTCAAACTTCCATC